TCCCCTGCCTTTGTGAAAAACATCTTGGAAAGCGTCAATGTGTATTAGATCAGAGCTGAAAAATATACCACATTCTTATAATGTTGATTTTCTTCTCTCAAGTAAAAATTTCAAGTAAAATCAACTAATTTTCAAAAGGTAGTTAAAAAAAATCCCTGAGAATTATTAATTAGACAAATATTGCCTGGAATTCCTTTTCACCCTCTCAATTTGAACAATAATAATAAAAAGAAAAGATTAAAGCATCAAAGTCCCGAAATATATACAGGAAAGAAAGTTTTCCTATTTCACTTAACTTTCTCACTCATGACTGAATCGAACAGTTGAGGAGCGTACTTGGCAGGTCAAATCATCTGCACATTGTGTCTAAAAGCTCTCAAACTAGCAGTTTAGGTAAAGAAAACATATTTATGTAAAAACACTCATTTAACTGTCTCTCCCGCAGCGACGCGTAAGGCGCTCATGAGTGAACATGTTTCATGCTCCTCCAGCCACATCATGCCTCACATTTTCAACCTGTCAGCTTCCATGAGCTTCCCCTCCACAGGGGACACTGTTGTCTCTGACAGCAAGACGCCACACAGGAGAGGCTTTGGGACATTTGATCTCTTTGTGTTGAACTAAACACCCTTTGTTCAAAAATAAAGAGAAAGGTCTGAATTGTTTTCAGTTAATTTGTTTAATATGATATATGAGACGTAATGTTTGCCCACAGTAAGGGTTTAATAACAGTGCAGATGAAACGGATTCCACAGATTCAGCTTTCCACAATTCCAAGTTCTTTATTCTTAACTGATTTACACCATCAATTGGTAAGAAAGAAAGAAAGAAAGAAAGAAAGAAAGAAAGACAGAAAGAAAGAAAGAAAGAAAGAAAGAAAGAAAGAAAGAAAGAAAGAAAGAAAGAAAGAAAGAAAGAAAGAAAGAAAGAAAGGAAGGTAGGAAGGAAGGAAGCTAAAGATGAAACGAAAGAAAGTTGGAAGAAATAGATCTTTGGAAAATAAGGCTTAAAGGAATAAAAATGAAAATAAGAAAAGGAAATGTGGGGGAAAATGAAAAGAAATGAAAGAAAGAAATGAAAAGCAAAAACATGCAAGGGAATCTTGGACAAAAGGAAATGACATAAGCAAATATACAGTTTGGAAGAGAGAAAGGAAGAATGTAAAGAAGGTGCTGGTGAAGGTTCTCAGTCATCCAGGTCAGAGTCATTCCAAAAAGAATTAAAAACAATCCACTGGACTTGGTGTCCAAGTTTGAAGATGTTTCGCTTCCCATCCAGGACGCTTTTTCAATTCAAAATGTCAGGAATAGCATTGAGTATAAAACCTCAAACTTAACGCTATTCCTAAAGAGATGAGTTTAAATAAACAGAAAACAAAATGAGTTTATAATACCAATTGGTTCATTTCAGGCAGTTTAAAATCCATGCTCTGTTTATGGAGGCGATTTTTATTGAACTTAAATTAAAAGAGTTATATTTCTATAATCAAAAGTTAAACTATTACGATGGTCAACTTGAACATTAAAGTTCTTTATGAAATAAAGCAACACATTTCATCTAAGGTGTTTGTTTTCAATGTACATGAGCGTCTGTCCACCCCGGAGTCTTAAAAGACCCTTTAGACGTGGTATTTGTCCCATGTGAAGCTTCACATCTGAATGGGTCGTGGCCGTGCGAGGTGAGTCGAGTTGACCTCGGGGTCGTGCTGACACAATGGCGGTAAGGATTCTATAGGAAGAACAAAACAGAGACCCCCAGGCTGATGGCCCCTGACATGGGAGGGGCTTCCATGTGGTGGGCCATTTTAGAATGAAGGGGAAGATGGGCTCAAGCTATCTGAGGGGATGTTTAGAAATCCAGCATAAATTTTAAAAGGACAGTAATGCCTGCTTGGTGATTTTTGATGTATTTTTAATCTGGGAAGAAAAGGTCTTATTATAAACTAATATATATATCATGCAATGTAAAGTGTTACTTGCATTAAATGAACAAAAAAAGTTATAGCATTTTGCTACCTGCAATGCAGATGAATCTCTCACTCTACTTTTGCAGAAAGCTTGGAGCTGATGGCAGAGGGGGAGGTCTAAAGAAAGAGAGCTGTAAGCTTTTATCTGACCCCATGGGACGATGTGAGGTCTACAACCTCCCCGTGTCCACCCACCCCCCACCTCACTTCCATATGCAGAGGAACTACTGGCTTTGTGTGGGGGGTTGGGGGTCATGACTAAGCACTACCACACTCTGTAGTGGAGAAGAGCAGTCATGGTGAGGTGTTGTCCAAGTCTCTATCAGTCAGGTGACTGGGGATCAGAATTTAACAGATTTTATTGAGAGAGTGGATTAAATAGAATGCACTGCCTCTTGTTCGACCAAATGAACCACTAGCCTCAGCTGAATAGGGATATAAAACCTATAGCACATGGCTTGGCACCAGCATTTCCATCCACCATGTTAACCGCTGTGGTAAAACCGGCCAGTTTCAAACCACGGAACTGAGTGATGGGAGGGAAAAAGGTTTCACAGACAGTAACAATCAGGTCTTTACAGTACACTATAAGTATGCTGGTTCCCTCTGCTGGCCACATTATACACTTTAATGTATTGAAATATTTAATTTTTAATTCAACAGGCTTCAGTAGCAAAAAAATGATCAACATGTTTTGTAAGCATAATTACAAAAACGGCAACATGAAATGCAAGGAGTTGCAAATACCTTCTGTTCAGATAAATTCCCTACATCAGAACGCTTTTATAATCCTAATCACCATGTGATTCGGCTGGGGGGGGGGGTCTCTTTAGTTTTTGGGATTGTCTGTTAGCTCTTTGTCATTTAAACTGTTGTGACAATGACTGCTTTTGTAATTTATTTATATATTTCCATATTTATGCTCGGTGCAAAGACATCATTGGAGAACCCTTTTTTAGTGGCACAGTAGGGTGTTACATGTGGCCTTTGTTGGTGGGAGAATACATCTAAATATTTAGATTTATCCTATAAGTAAAAGGTTATAGCTACATGGCCTCTTTAGGCCTAGGAGAGATTCAACAGAAACAATTATTTGAGTTCCAAAAAACGTAAAAAACAATCCACTGGACTTTGTTTTATGACTTTTTTGGAATGACTATGACCTGGGTGACTGAGAAATTTCACGAGTTAAACTGCATATTCTTAAAAAACAAACAAAAAACAAACAAACAAAAAAACAACCAATAAATTTGTATCAGATTTCAATTTTAGTGACTAAAGAATGAATACCTTACCACTTTTATACACTGAAGAAAATGTTTCTAAAATTAAATTGAGTAGCTGGAGTTTATTATAGTTATTTTATTAGTTACATAATTAACACAGGTTTGTAGCAAAATGGGACAAAGATGTTCTTTTTTTTTCTTCCATGTGTGGAAAGGATTTTAATAAGGATTAACAGACTGGTGTATAAATATAAAGCTATTTAATGCGGAAGATAGAAATTTGGTAAAATAAGGCAGTAAGGTTTAAGAGCTAAGAATAAACCTTTTTTCCCACATTTTAAGATAATAATAATTAACTAGGCATGCTAATTATAAAAACTTTTTTTTTTGTTTTTTAAATGACTCTACTACAAATACAAACAATTCCCTGATATAGCTGCGGAACAAAACTATAAATATGTGAGCTGAAGTGCAGAACTTATTGCTGTATTTGCTTGCTTGTGCATTGTTTTCTACAGTTCTAAAACATTCAGCAAAAACTATATAAAGAAAAAGTATTGGAATGTTAGTTTAAATGTTTTACAAGTCTGAATTGCTTGAGAAAAACATGTTATTAACTGCACAAATCATGGTGAAGGTTTTGCATGAACATAACTTTAAAATATTCTGCGGAGGAAATAAGACCCCTACAACAAAACGAAATTAAAAGAAAAAATGGAAAATAAAGAATTTTTATTTTATTTTAAAGAAATTTCTAGGAAATTTCTTTTAAAATGTTGTTGCTCACTTAAGCTCAACAAATGCTTACCTTCCACTCATTTGTTTGAAATATACGTTTTTTCATTGTTATGGTATATTAATGTAGCAAATTTGATAAAAGAAAAAAACTATAATGTCATTAAAAGAAACAAATAAATAAAGAAAACATTTTCCCCCAATTATATCAGCTAAGAATCAAAAAATCATTAAGGGAATCAGGTTTTATTTCCAAAATCAACTGCTCTAATTGGAAAAAAAAAAAAATTTTTGGTGCAAAAAAACACCACAGTCTTATCTTTAGCCATAAAAAAACCCACACAACAATATAATAAAAGAAATAGATAAAATCAGCACGAACAAAATAATGAAACTGATTTAACAAGTTTTATTTGTTTTATATATAATGCAATAAACATCCTATTACCATTGCTGATCTTTGATGCTTTTTTCCTTACTTTTTTAGCCACTGCAAAATGCATCTTTTTAAATAATATTGACACAAAAAAAAATTTGTAGGAAAAAAAAAAGCTTCAAAGCAAAAAGAACAAAATGTATCTCTAAAATCACCCCCCTTTGAAATAATTTTGAAATAAAATAATTAATTTATGACCTGCAGTTTTTAATGCAACTCTAACACACAGTTTGAGAATTATAATTAGCTGAAGGTTGATTAATTGTCTTGTTTTTTTTCAGTTGCACACCGGGCAATTAAGGATTTAAATGAGCTTTAATTGTTTTTTTTTCTCTTCATAGAGTTTGCTTTAGACAAGTTAAATCATTTAGATTAGATTTATGTTGATTATTTATGTGGAAAATTTTAAAAGAGATCAAAGTGCGTAATTACTGTTTTTTCCCCTTTATTATTATTGATTAAAAGCTTTTAAGCAGAAAGCGCTCATGGCGTGCATTCCTGTCCCTTAGAAAGAAGGCAGTTTGGTAGGATGTATGTCGGAAGTGCAGTAGTTTATGTATGCTAATAGGGGGAGTTGGGGGTTGTAGCTAGATATTTACGTTCAGTGGGAGCCGCCCTTCATTCACCCACATGGTTACCAAGTGGTCGCCTTCGCGCCACTTTCTTAACCCTGTAATCATATATAAGAAGATTCTCTTGACTTCAAATGGGCTCTCCTTCGATTCCCACCTCACTTTACGGCTCATTTTGGTCCGCTATTTGAAAAGTTTTTGGGATAGTAGAGGTTTTATTCGCCTCTTTTGTCGCCGTGAGAGCAGCACGGCAGCCCGAGCGAGTAAAGCGAAGATGGTGGATTTCGGCTGGTGAGTGGAGCGCATGTTTATCGGTGAGGAAGTGTAGTTCCAGGCTATGTTTAAGTGGTAATAGTCGCCGCTGTTGGATATTTCTGTTTCTTTATCCCTTCCCCGTGTGTTTGTAGCGTTTTATAAGTGGAAACGCACAGCTTCAACCATGAAAACACAGTAGCGTGAAGCGCATGGCAGCCCCCTCAGCTCCACCATTGAGGGAATGAGCGAGATTTGAAAAAGCGGCGTGGAGCTTCCTCTGCTGCGTTTCCAGCAAGCGGCGTGGAAAATTACACAGCTTGTCGATTACAACAAAACGCACTCTAAAACAACGGCGTGGCGTCTGCAAAGTTTGTCTAAATGTGCTCTAATTGCGCCCGAGTGTCGAGTGCAGTGGTGTGTGAGTTAAAGTGCCCCCCAGAACAAAGCAGCAGCACATGGGGCATCTCTAGGCCGCGCGCTTTAGCTAACTTAGCCTAGCTAAATTAGCCTAGCCTGTGCGCACCAGGCTACTGCTAAACTTTTGTTTATTTGAAGCCCTACACTTTAAGAGTGGAAATCTGAATTAAATGTAACATGAGAGCCACCAAAACTAACGGGCACACGTGGGTTTACAACGTGTTTTTTAACATGTTTGCTAGTTGTTGCGGATATTTAACGTCTACCAAAAATGCTAATAGTTTAATATCAGCAGTTTATTTTCTCCAGAGCGAGTCACAGCCCCAAACTTACTAATAGCTCTAGCGGTTATTAGAAAGTTAACGAGGGTTTATATCCCAAGTCTAGCAAACAGCAGCTCGTAGCGGCTAAGCTACCTGCGGATGCTGTTCCCAACACGAACCAGTTTTTGTTTTTATTTTCCCCAAAGCGACCGAAAAGACACAAGTCGCATTTTTGTCTGTACACAAAGCACGTAGCCGTGGCTTTATTTTTCCTGTTTTCAACACAACTAGGTTTTTTTACGCTTGCTTAATCTAAAGTCGTTTGAAGTGCTAAGTGCGCCATGTTAGAAGATGTGGGGGAGGGGTGAACGGCTTGGCGCCTTCTGCGCATGCGCAGCAGCGGGGACGCTCATTCATATTTTCAGCGACCTCGTGTTGCTCTAAAACTGAAACGGTCAACACACCGTAGCTCGTGGTGCCACTTAATCCTCACGACTACTAGTAGTGAGCATTTCCGCCATTTCTTTAGAGCCAGAGTGTTTCTAACTTTGTTTTCCTACTTTCAGATCCACCACGAGGTGCAGTGGACCCCATGCTGTGGACACTTTTTTTGCTGTGGAGCAGTGATGCAGTCTGTGCATTGTCAAAGTGCTTACAGTGCAGGTAGTAGTATGTGATACCTACTGCAGTGGAGGCACTTACAGCAATACACAGACACTTGTATACAGGTTGTTTTGCTATGTCAATTGAAATACTGTCTTTGTGCTAAGGTGCATCTAGTGCAGATAGTGAAATAGACTAGCACCTACTGCCCTAAGTGCTCCTTCTGGCATAAGGGGCTGTGATATACACCATCAGGTCGTAATCAAAAACTTCAAATTGGGCACATATGTCTTGCAGTTCACTGCTAGTTTTGCATAGTTGCACTACAAGAATAGATGAGTTGTGCAAATCTATGCAAAACTGATGGTGGCCTGCTTGCTCTACAACTATTTTGGAGTTGGATTTTTATTTTCATGGAGGGGCTCACATTTTACGTGTACCATTGTATTCTATCAGTTTAAAAGCTTTACTGGTTTCCGGTGACTACAGTTTCTGCAGTACTAAAGTGCTTATAGTGCAGGTAGTGTTTGTCCCCATATCTACTGCAATGTAAGCACTTGAAGTATTTCCAACTGTATATCTTCTCAGCTGTGACTGTATACTCTGAAGACAAATCTGTTAGTCGTTGCTTGGTCAGTTTTGCTGGTTTGCATTCAGCTTTAAACAGATGTGTGCTGTGCAAATCCATGCAAAACTGATTAAGTTGACGGGCCACAGTCTTTTAAGTGGAAATGTGTTCTGTCCTACTTGGCTGTCTTGGGATGTCCTGTCCTATTCAGGTGGGGATCGGTGGCAATGCTGTACTCCTTGAGGTATTGCACTTGTCCCGGCCTGTAAAGGAGCGGGGAGATTAGCTGACCTTTGCCAAACTGTTGCATCCTTTAGATGTCTGTATTTTTTTTTTCTTTTCTTCCCAGTTGGGTAATTGTAAGGTTGATCATTAAAAATAAAAAAATTTTCAGCAAAATGAATGCCCTGATTTCTTTATTCTGCTCTCGAGTTTCTTAAGATCCTTAAATCCTTCTAATTGAAAGGGGTTTTTTGTTTTAATTTTTACTTAATATAGTAATACTATGATGAGCTAATCTGTTTCCAGCCTTATCTGTATTTTTTTCTAAATCGAATCATTTGTATTTTAGTTTTTTTTTTTTTTTTAATGCAGGCTTGGTATTCTGGGACAGTGAATAGATATTTTTATATTTAAAATTCTTGCTTGATTTGGGTAATATTGAAAATCTGGTTATAAATTTTGTTAAATCAGGACCGTTAACTGTCTTACTCTGATGCTGGAAAGTTTTTTTCTGACATTTTAATTCGCTGTCCGCTAGATGGCGCTATACTATAGATTTTAGTCAGCCCGCTCATATGTCCAGGTAACCTGGTACCGCCTCTGCTGTCGGTCCAGTCAACTTGGACCATATGCAGCATTCAGAGAAGTCGCACAGTTGAAACTTTGAGTCAGTTTCACTACTTAAATCAGAGCAGGACTATCTAAACATGGTGTTTCCTTTTCTGAAATGCGGACCTGTCTGATACCTGCCTGCATCTTTGTGAAGAAAGGGACCTGACTTCCAGCAAGTCATTTTCTGGATCATCAAGCAGGAGTTTTACTAAAATGAGTACGCTATTGATCTGCGTTTTTCTGATGTGCTCGTATGGATCTGGGTTCGCTGAGCTGGAAAATTGCGACGAGGTGCATAAAGTTTTTCACCTGAGGCAAATCGGACCCAGTCATGTTTTGCCTTCAGGTCCTGTATCAGGTAAGCTAAGCATTTTATACCTGCCAGGATTTCTGCAGATGCTGATGAAGCAGTTGTCGCAAGGAAATAAAAATGGGATACAGAAAAATTACTCCCACGTTACCCATTTACCGAGAAAGCTCAAGTTTTTATACACGTGGAAATGTATTGAAAGGTTCATCCTTATGTAGTTGTGATTGGAAGCAGTTGTGGCTGACAAATTTGTGAAAAATCAGCTGCTTTACATAATCCTAACGGGACTTATAGCAGTCAAATGACCACTCTGTTAAGCATGACTGGAAAGTAATAAATCGGTGTCTGTCCTTCCATGCAATCAATGCAGATTAATCAGTTGCTGCACATATATCCCCTCCAAACAGGCAGATTATCGTTTTTTTTTTAAAGTAACTTTTCATTCCCAATACATTTTCATGGCTATAAGTAAACATGGTTAAGTCTAATATTGCATTAAATCATTCGAGCTGCATGAGGATTTAAGAAAACAATGCTGTTTTCGAGGGTTAAACCTTATCAGAGCGCATATAATCATGGAGCATGATTGTTGAGCTGCAATAAGCTGCAATGACAATCGGACACAGAAAAAAAAATTTCTGAATCAGTTTTGTCTTGGAGATGCCAGCTTTCAAATGCACAGGTCGTGCAGGTCATGGTTTGGGCCTTCTGGACAATCGAAGTCCTTTCATCATGAAATACAGCATCAGATTTAAGTACATATAGAAACATCTAAAGGTTGATGTGTACTTTAGTTGTATAACTTTGAAATCTTGGTGAGGTTGTTAAATGTATGTTTTGTCCTAAATTCTTTTCGAACACGCACCTGAATGATAAATTTCAACAGAAATAAAAATCCAACAAGGCAATGACCCAGAGGATAGATTTCAACATAGAAGACCAAATAATGTGTAAATCTAAGTGAATGAAGTCAATAACTTATAGGATAAAATCTCATCTGGTTAATTAACCATGATTGTTTTTAATCCTAAAAACAGTCTTACATTTCCAGACAACAGGAGATTAGGTTTATATGATGAACCTGGGTGCTCTTCAGTGTTTAGATGCTGACCTTTCATATTGCACCCTAGATTTTAAAGATAGATGGGTCCCCTTTTTTCCTTCAGTAATTTTGCACATAGAGTGGCAGCAACATGTTCATGCAACAGCCTGTGTTGTATTCCTGGAATTACCAGAGTCTCTGCTGCCTTAAAGCCATGCTGCTTTACCCTTTGACTCAACAGTCTAAAGCTGCACAGATTGAAACAGAAACTCCCTCACTGGAGTGTTTACCACAGATAAGTGGCTTTTGGATATGCCACCCATGGTAATTATGTGTAAGATTTGGGAAGAATTATGGCTGTTTCATGTGGACTGTCATGGTGCAGTCTGCCCCCCCTAAATAAAGCTTGATGGTGTTGCCTGCCATTCTGCCACAAAATGCAGTCTCCACACCCCCATCTCCCTAACTTTTGACATAATTAACAGAAAACCTCCTAAACCTCTAAGTGCCACATCGCCTCTCCTTAAAGGAGCCTCAGTGGCGGGGCTGATTCATGACTGAATACAAAATGGTTTTCTTCTTAGATAAATTGTTTGCTGAGGAGATATTTATTTTAAGAGATATGAAAAAAAAAATTTGCTACTGTTGCAAAATATCTAACTGCTGCCTCTTATCACATCAAAATCCATTGCAAATACATTTATCTCTTTCTTGATGGGTTTAGATGATGTTCCAAAGTGAAACAGATACACATAATAGTAGGCGTTATGGGGCCGAGGTGTTTGTGAAAAACAACCTGCAAAAATGTTAACGCCAAAGAGGAATATAACCATTCACAATGAGAACAAAAACCAAAAAAGATTAAGTTTAATTAAAACATAGCGAGTCATAATTACTACCTGTAGGCAGTATAGGAAGTGGCCAGCATATATCTGGTGAAAAAAAAAAAGCAAAGGCCTCCATGCTGCCTTATCTGGTATACTTTGAATTCCAGTATGTATGCCATCACTTGCTCTGCTCACCGTCAGACCTTGCGGGGACTTAATGGCGTCTGACAAAAGTCTCCAAACCCTGCCTGGACTTGTTGTGGAGGCTTTTGCAGGTTTTTGGGTCTCAGGGATGTTTTGATTGTCCTATAGATGGTCCACTCTGGTTTCTATGTCTGTGTGTAAAAGAAAAACAAAACAAGACTTTGTTTGATTCAGTTAAAATATACTTTAAAATCTAAGATCGAAATTTATTAGTTCACCTTTAAACTGTATATGTATCTGATAGTTTAGGTATACCTCTAACCATTTATTTCAATGAAATGTCCACATAGAGCTTTTTGAAAAATATTTTAATGCCCTTAACCTTTTCACATTTCATTTTTTTTCTGGAGGGCTTTATGTGACATGCTGTCAGGATCAGTTTGTCTGGCTAAGGACGAGTCACTATTCACATAAACACGAGACAGAGAAATAAAAGAAAAGTACAACGTGTTTAGACATTTGATTTTATTTCCTATCATTTCTACATGTGTAAGAAAAAGGGGAAAAGTAAGGTTGTTACACTCAAACGTGCCCCATTTTAAGTTGTTCATTGTGTCCGTCAGGTTGAATAGTGGCTTTGTAGACGATGACCAGTAGCTCCTGTGGAAGGTTGGACCTTTTCAGTTCCACAAAATAAAGGCAATGTTGGGTTTTCTTCCAAACTGTGTTTATGTTTGAGGATGGTCTCAGGTCCTGAGAAAGGGTGGTTCCCTAGAAACCAGAAGTGGTCCATAGTCTTATTGAGGACCGTGAGTGGAGCTAGTATGTTCCTGTGTTTGGGGTGGGGTTCTGAAAGTCCTCCGTTTTCCCCAAAGGTCCCGAACACACAGGTCCTATAGCGGCCTTGTCATCTTTCTGGAACAGTGCAAAGACAGCAGTCTTATGTGTGAGCTGGAGATTTACAGGGTTGTCTGCTGAGGCGCAGTAATACCTAGAATAGTAAAAATGAAGAACAGTTTCTTAAGGGTGTAAATTAAATTCTGAAAGTTTAACATACATTAGATTTCACCGACTCTGACATGATAATTTTATTGTGGCCATTAGGTTGTATCTCTTGTAACCATTAGATTTAGTGATGGACACTGACAGGAGCGGTCAAACAATGGGTAATGAATATGGACACTGTAATGCTTTTTTTTTTTTCTTACCCTTTCCTCCATAGATCTGCAGGTCTGTTTAGAGTTGTCCCTGCTGGAAGAATAACTCTTAGGCGGCTATTTTTCAGCTTTTTCTTCCTTCTGTCTATCCTAATGTTTTGGGTTTTTTCCCCAATAGAAAAGTACTCTTGGATCATGATGCTGCCCCTACCTTGCTTCCTGGGTGGGACAGTCTGTTTAGAATTAATTGCCAGTTTTTTATGGCGCATGGGGTTTTGCATGGAGACGAAAAGTTGTTTTAACTTTTTAAAACTTCTTGCCACCGTGATGATGCCCTGTGAGGTGTGAGACTTTGTTTTATAAGATAACTCAGTTTAAAGGTCCACAACCCTATCCCTGACCTGTCTGGGCGAGTTCCTTTGTCATCTTAATGCCATTTGTTCAAAAACATTCATGGTAAGAATCATTCGATTTTGTTTTGCAGAGCTATAAAGGGTGCACTAGATTTTGCTGTGGGTTTCAGAGTAGAGGGACTTTAATACATGTATAGATTTGAGCGACAGGCTAGGTCAAGTGGTAAGTCACCCGTCCTGCAAACAGGAAGGGTTTGTATCCCAGCTGGGGAACAAGAGCTGCTTTGGGGAGTGGCGGCTTAGTGCACAATCCTGAGGTTCTGAGCTCGAGCCCCACTCCCATAGACTGCCACTTTAGGTCCCTGAGCAAAAGACTCTTAGCCCACACAATGCTCCCCGGGCGGTGGACAATGGCAGCCCTCTGCTCCCGAAGGGGATGGGTTTAATGCAAAGAGTTAATTTCGTTGCTCTGTATTTGTGACAGTGTAATGACGATAAAATGCTAAACAATGCTGGAAAAGACTTTGTTTGCAAAACAAACCAGTCAAGGAAAATCTCATGACAATACATTAAAGTTCATGGTTGCAAGATCATAAAACATTTTCATTATGAATGCAAGGCATCATTGACAGCAAGGGGAGATTCCTAAGATAAAAAATAAAAATAAAATCATGTTTTCTATACTTTTCCTGTAATTTATTTGTTTTTTGCTTTTTCAGTTTGTGCATATGTTTGTATACTTTTTTTTCCACTTAGGAAGGTGTGAGTCTAACTTTGAATAGCAATACGCTTCCTTTTTATGAATCTGGCCAGTTGAAGGTTGGAAAATCCATCAGATTTGTTTGTCTTAAAGAGGTTTTAAAGTGGATTAACTTAAAGGCAATGTGCTCATCCTCAGTTTGTGCCAGTCGTGTGTTAGCATTAGATCTAAGGAGGCAGTGAAAGGCGCTTAAAGAGGATACATAAATGTTCTGAGGGTGGTTTAAAGCATTAGATTATTCATTTTTGAATGAGAAACTTAGCTGTAGTTATTATCATTCATCCTTGTCAACTTAACATTCATTAAGGCATGCTTTGAAATGTTAAGAGATAAAAATGTAATATATTAGTCTGGTGCCTTCAAATTCTAACTATTAATGTCTGCTTTAAGGTTCTAATCTTCAGGTGTGCACCTCCAAAACCTTGACGTGCTGCACCAAAAAGACGGAGGAGAAGTACCAGGTGGCGGCCCGGCGAGACGTCCAAAACCTCCTGCAGAGCCACAGCTCCAGCCTGAAGCTTCTCCTGTCCCGCTACGTGGCTGCTTTTCAAGGTAATTGCTTGTGTGTTTTTAGGCGTTGCAGCTGTGGCATTGCGAACGCTAGGCTGCGTGCAAATGTTTACCCCACTAATGTACTGTTTATGTGCAGATGTTTGTGTGGGTGTTGTCAAGATACAGATGAGTCTTGTGTGTTTGTGATTCATCAGTAGATGAGACTGAGCCGTCCTGCTCAGAGAGATACGGCCCTTTCATCAGATTTTTTTAATTTTTTTTATTTTGGGCTAAAATACCTTTCAGGGTATTTTGCAACTCCTGTCTAATTCTTTGTAAGCTTTCCCCGACACTTTGTATCTTATTATGGAATTAAATCATTATTTTTAATCACACAGGCGGGTGTTTGTGTTGACTCCCATTCCTTTCTATCATTTCATTAAGGATTTTACTTACAAGCATCGACTTGTCTCTCTCTGTCTGTGTGTATTTGCTCCTTTTGTCCATCCAGTGAAATATATTTTGTCTTACCCTGGCTGATAGCGGTCCTATGGTGGCTGAAGCTGGTGGGCAAAAGATCCACAGCGTGTGACTTGAGATGGCAGACATATTATTAAGGTTGTTCACTTTAATGCTGCCTTTCAGTGTAAAGACAGGCTGTTATCCTCCCCTGAAACGCCATTGATCTAAAGGAAAGCCCCTCATGATTATAGTGTTTTAGTTGAGGTTTGAAGGGGCAATGCCCTGTTTTTGTTGGTTACTGTGTCATCTGCTTGTTGAGGGTTTGAACTTAAAATTACATTTTTACTGTAGCGTCCTTTTAAAGTTAAAAGAGGAGCACACCTGATGCTGCAGAGCAAAAGGCTGATGTAACTAATCCTTTTCAGCCAGTCTTCTGTTCTTCTTTCAGTTTCTACAGAAAATACTTGACATTACAAAATCACATTTATGGCTGCCTGCCATAAATGTGCTTCTTTTTGAAGTGCTTGTCGACCCTGATGCTGTCCCTTAATAGGCCACTTGTTTTCAAATGCATACAGACTCTTATGTTTTTCTATTTCTTAAAGCTCTGGTAAGGTTTGGGCCAATCTGAACATAAGAAATCAAACAGTGTTGCTGGCGCAGAGTTTGTAGATGTATGAAAGTAGATGCTAAACTCACATGGTTACGTCTCTAGAATGGCAGCCGATGCTCAGTCTTTCCCAAACCAAACAGAGCTCACTGTCAACATCCCATCAGTCAACAAACACAAGCGGCTGTTTCTAACATCCAGCCTGCGAAAGGTGAGGGACAATCTTACATTACTTCTAACTTACTTTTGAGTGTTACTGTTTGACTCTTTTGCCTCTAGAGTCCTACTTGTTAACTTACTAATATATTTCAGCACTATTTTATTTCTTTCTATCAAAGCAAAGATCAGTCAAGTCACTGCCATTGATGATTATTTTGTTCTTTTTTTTTCTTACTACCATCTCTATACTGACAGTAATTCAAAACTCAAACACTTTTGCCTTTAATTCTAAGGCTGCACTATATATATTAAATCATCTGCCTATGAATACAATAAAATGGCTTAAATTGAGAATCTAGATGCTAGATCCCGCAAAGCGTGATGGAGACGTTTGGATAAAACTAAAGAAAGGTGTGAGTTTAAAGCTACAGTGTGTAATTTTCAGCGACATCTAACGTCCAGACTGCAGACCGCTAGGGTTGGGAATTGAAAAGATTTTCACGATTCCGATTCCCTTTTCGATTCTATGAAACGATTCGATTCTTTATCGATTCTTTTTTCGATTCCAATTTGGGGGAAAAAGGAGAACAAACAGTTTGATTATCAGCATCAACTTTGTTTACTTAACTATTGCACAATCTTACAAAATCAACAAGATCAAGATGTCCACAGGAAATGTGAAACTGGAGTAACATCTGTGTTTAAATGAAAAATGAATACAAGAACAAACTTAATAACCAACAATGTCTAATAACAAATGATGGGATAATAACCTATTTTAAATAACAAAAAATACTAATTATAAAACAGTAGTAGGGAAAATTAACAGTTATTTTGCAGAAAGATGAGCATATCTGCTTTTTCTGGAAGGATACGGGATCTTTCAGCGCTTATGGTATCTCCAGCCGGGGAGAACACCCTCTCAGATGGGGTGGAGGAAGCCTGCACACAGAGGTAGTTTTCAGCCAGTCCAGATAGCAAGGGCAGCGTATCTTGCTTGTTCCACCACCACAGTGTGGCGCTATCCCTGCAGGGCAAGCTTTTACAGAGCTGGATTTCCTGATCTACCCTCTGGGCTAAGAAAAGACGGGGCTTTGATTCACAAAGTGACCGCAGCTCGTTGTCTTCCTCCTCGAGTAGTTCTTCCAACTTGCGTAACTTGCGTAACTTGTGTAACTTACGTAACTTACGTAAAAAACGTGACGTAAGTCGTGCTCCCCAGAGCCGGCGCTCTAGGCTCTGGTGCTGCGGGAATCGAAAAAAGAATCGTTCAGCGAGCTGCCAAACGATGCCATGGAATCGGAAAATACGGAACTGGTTCTGAACAGGAACCGGTTTTCGATTCCCATCCCTACAGACCGCAGTAACATGAACATCTTCCCCCCACCGCTTTTCCCCCCAACAGTACGGCGAGCGTTACGGGACAAAATGTCTTCCACGACGTCCGCATCACCTACCTTCTCAAGTGATGAGGTTTGTTTACATAGATAATTTTACAGATAGTATTTCATTAGTCTGTGTGTTCAGTACCGTCTCAGTTCATCTCTCTCAACTTGCCGTAGTTACTTTCGAGCATAATGGGCGATCTCGCAATCGCTAGTTTGTTGGCTCTGCGCTGCCGTAGCACAAAGATGTCTGCCTCCATGGCTGCGAGACCCGCTCCTATGTAATTATAAATAACGAATTCTAAGGCAACGCAAATATTAAGGTTAAGAGGCTGAGCTCGTAGATGATGATAAATAACATAGTTATGTATAATATATTACATTTCTGACTGTATATCCCTGTAATTATTACACACTGTAGCTTTAAATGATGCAGGTTTTTCTTAATCAATGTCATCGCTATATTTAGCACAATCCCTACTCTTTTTTTTTTCTTAAATTAAGCAGCCCTATTAAATTAATAGTTTTTTTTTAATTAAGGACACCAGTTGCAGCTAAAGTAATTTTCTAAGGGTAGAAATTTGGCTTTCCTGCTTTAAACTAAGATTTATGTAGACTAGAAAGAGATATAAAGTTGAAATAATCTGTTAGCTCATTTAAGGCTGGTCATACAGTATATGCACATGTTTCTAGTTTATTTATACAGTAAAATACATAAATTATTGGTTGTATTTTCAAAATATTTTGTAGATAAAACTCTATGCTCACATACTCTTCTACTTCAACTGTTTTGATACCTCTGAACATTTACCACTGAAATCCGGGGCATCCAATGGCCTTTAAAAGTTTTTTGTTTGGTCAAAAAAGACGACGCACATGCAAATTAATCTTAATTCCTTAGGTTCCATCTTAGCTTAAATTTAGGATATGAGCAAGTCATGGATGAAGTGGAAGGGAAATTTCAATGCCAGGTTATATTATTGAATAATACACAAATATTTAAACAATTCATAAAGCAATGCTCAGTCCATCATAGGAAATCATCACATCATACAACACGTGCAAAGCTTTTTTAGGCAATCCCTAAATCATCTTAAAATGTTTCAAAACCTTTCTTTTTTCTTTTTCTTTTTAGGAAATCCACTAAAAGTAAACTGGTGTTTATTAAGATCCTTGAAATGAGCATGCATTCAAAGGATTATTTTTATTTTGTGTGTGAAGCACATTTAAATAATTTCATCACTGCAATATCAGCTGTTTCTGTATTACTTTTAGATAAGGTGTTTTTCCTGCTCCAATCCAAACATATCTTCTCTACAAAAAGATTTACTCAGTTAAAAAAAAAACAAAAAACAAAAGAAAAAAAGTCAGATATAAACAGCAGTTTTATCTAGTTTACTAAAATTAGTCTGTATTTGTATCTCTACATGCTTCCACCTCCTACACAGATGAAACAATTTAGTCCTAGGAGTTTTGGACACCAGCCTTACACACAAAGATGCACAAGCCACTCAAGCAACAATTGTAAATTGCTCTGGATGTTTTAAGCACCACTGTCACAGAGTGAAAACCAGCTGTGGCACAATTTGTATGGGAAGTGTGGAGGGTCATTATTGTTCACCAGATTCTCCTGAAAGAAAGGAGGCATTTTTCTTATACAGACAAAAAGTCGAGCATTTCACCAGCTGTTCAGATCTGTCAAGAACATTTTTCTGAGTTAGTATCCACTTTAAGAGATTACGGATGAACAAAAAAAAGCATATGAAATACTTCTAAATTTACTGAGAAACAAAAAACCCATAGATTTAGTGATGATTGGCAGCTGACGCTGTAATTTGAGAGACATCAAGATACAAACAGTATATAGCAGCACAGACAGGAAGAGGGATGAGATAAAAAGAGGGCAGCTAATGTGGTCATTTGTCTTCTGCACAGCCTTCAATTATGTCTCTTTATATGATGCAGTAAAGGGGAGGGGAGGAGGGATAAAAACATTAGCGGAATGTAGCCAAACAACAAACTTAAAATTATATGAGACATAAACTGTAAGTCATTTCTTCTTTTCCTAAAAAGCAACAAAAAAAATAAACAAACAAATATTACAGGAAATTCATTGTTTTCTTCTGTGTTTCATCTTTTATTAAAATATATTTTCCATTCTTTTCTGTACTAGTATTTTCCCCCTGGTCTGTCAGTAAGCCTGCATGCTTTCTTTCCGGTGTAGTGAGGTTTCTCCACTTCCTTCACACAATGCACAAATATCCAGCCTGCCGAGAAGGCCTTCAGGGGAGATCTTTCCTTCATACCGTGCAGGTTTGTCTCACATCCATGGCAACCAACCTAAGCAATCCTGCTGCCCCGTCGGGCAGGAGTCACATAAAAGTCAAAGAGAAGCACAACATGAATCAGCTGTTGAGATGCCCAAATTAAAGAACACCAGTCTG